TCCGAGCACGGTAGGTTATCCGATACCGCACGAGGTGAGTCTTCTCACTATACTGTACCTGGTGTGGTACCTATGTGTGACCAGAAGGTCTTATATGCTATGAGATGTATGTGATGTATGTTGTTATATGATATGGATGTGGCATGTATGTTATGAATGCTAAGGACCGGAAGGTCATTATGCTAAGGACCGGAAGGTCATTATGGTATGGACCGGAAGGTCAACATGATATGGACCGGAAGGTCATTACGGGTAGGACCGGAAGGTCTACCAGGGTTGTGGGATGGAAGTCCTCTGAGACACAGCGACCGGAAGGTCTTATAGCCTTGAGTGGCGTATGTGCGTATGTGGTATTTTGGGGAACTCACTAATCATTTATGCTTACGGTTGTTGTGTTATGTGTTTCAGGTACTAGCGAGGATCGCGGGAAGGCGTCGGTATGATCCGTACACACTCATGAAGTTTATGTCTTGAGATTCTGGGATATGTTTTGTTATGATAACATTGGATACATTATGTTTTGATAGTACCTTATGAATAAAAGTAAGTTTTAAAAATGAAAAATTGTTTTGGAAATTTACGTTGTTACACAGTGGTACTGTAACGACCCAAATTTCCAAATAAAATTTTCATTTTTAATTAATCAAAACATTCCCATAAAATATGAAATCTCAATAACAACTGTTTTCAAAACCCATAACATCAACATTTTCTTTCAAATATCAGAGTGTCCCCATATAAAATGCCGGAGAGTGCATGTCGTGCCATCAAACCTTGCCCTTTCCCTTTGGCTCTGAAGTACCTGAAACAAATCAACAAACTGTAAGCTAATGCTTAGTGAGTTCCCCAGAGCGTACCCCACATAATCACATAAACCATATTAGGTATATAAGCTACATAAATCACATAAGCCATGCATACAAACATATAAGGACGTCGTGGGCTCCTCCCAGGGTCTTATACTTACATGTCATGGGCTCCCCCATGGTTTTTACCTATGAATGCCATGGGCTCCCCCACATGTTCCTATATCCAACTGCCACGGGCTCCCCCCGGTGGTCTTCCATGCAAATAACACAAAGTCAACTAGCATATCATATTTCACATAAATCTGTCATACTACATAACTCATACATAACATATAGGGATGTCGTGGACTCCCACCAGGGTCTTACTCCTATGTGCCATTGGCTCCCCCACATGGTCTTAACTACTTTCCATGGGCTCCCCCAAATGGTCTTTACCTAGGAATGTCATAGTCTCCCCCACATTGTCTTATATCCAACTGCCACGGGCTCCCCCCGGGGTCTTCACATATCTAGTCAATAAGTTCTAGCACATTCTCATATACATGCTTACCAGACACATCAGTAGTGAATCCACAATAAACACTACAACTAACTAAATGGGCCAGCCTTGGTGCCTTCGACCCATTGGTATGGTGAGGAGACTCACCTCTGTAAGCCAAATCTAAAAGGTGCTCTCTTAACAGTCCGTAACCACTCGTGCTGAACAATAATACCATAACCCAAGGTTACGGTTGAATATAATCCAATTAAAGAACCCTAGCCCCCAAATCCTTTCATAGTCCATGTCCAAAATCATTAATGAGACTCATGGCCCAATAATGCCCAATCACATCAACCTTGGCCCTAAACAGCTAAATTTGTCCACTAACTCAAAACATGACCAGGACGAAAGGGCTTACAAGCCCAAAATAAGTCTACGCCCATCTGAGTGTGTACGCCCTGCGTACCACTCCTGTACGCTTAGCATACTGAGTCCCTGAGTTGTACACACTATGTACGCTATACTACGCCCAACATACAAGCAGATTAAGCACTTCATTCCATTAAGTGCTTTATACTTGATGTTCCAACGTCCAATCTTTAGATATGAGTCCATTAAGATGTCTTAAGGCATAAAGTTGGCAACTTTATGCCTTTGCATGTTACATATGCTCCCAACAACCCATTAAGACCTTTCCAAGAGTCTTAATCCATGCATGAGGTCAAAACACCCATCAAGACTCCATTTTTATGCTATGAATGGACCAAAGGACTGTAGATATATCCTTCCTAAGCTCTAGAGTTGCTCAAACTCTCAAGAGGTGGTATAGGAACACAAAAAGGGACTATAGAGAAAACCCTAGATCTAGAAATGAAAATGATGACCAAGGTGAAAGATTTTTTCCTCCTCATGCTTCCTAAGCTACATAAATGTAAGATCCAGAAGCTCTTCCTCGTTCAAGAATGTTTCCTCCTCTTCCTTGTAGCTAACACACCAAAAGGGTGGTGTTTAAACACTCATACGCTCAAGAACACACACTCTAATGATTTTAGGGTTTTTAGGAACGTTTGAGGGTGAAGGAGGATGGTTGGGGTAAAGCTCAAATGAGATAAGGATGCTTATGTAGGTCTTGTGTCGAGAAATTAGGGTTTGAACGTTCATCACGTACGCCCCGCGTACCCTTTGGTACACCCAACGTACATGCTGGCCCTCCGTGATCATCCGTGCATGGTACGCTAAGCGTAGTCCTGAAGTACGCCTAATGTACTTAAGGGACCATTGTGAAATACTTAAAATTTCAAAGGTTCAAAGGGTAATACCTGATTTGGAGTGTTCTCTATAGTCCCCACTTAAAGTAGACTTCATCCTCAAAGTCCGCAGACGCAAACAGATCGCGGTAATGATCCCGCATCTCATCTTCCGGTTCCCATGTCCATTCGGAGCCTCTTCGGTGCTGCCATTACACCTTCACCAGCCTCACCTCCTTTTTATGAAGAACCTTAGTCTTCCTATCGAGAACCGCAATGGGTCTCTCAATGTAGTTCAGGATCTCATTAACCTGAATGTCGTCCAACAAAATAACTACAGCCTCGTTAGTGACACACTTCCGAAGCTGAGACACATGGAAGGTGTTGTGAATCTGGCTAAGCTCCTCTGGCAGATCGAAACGGTAAGCCACCTTGCCCACCCGGGCAGAAACCCTGAACGTACCGATGTATCAGGGCCCTAACTTGCCCTTCTTCTGAAACCTGATGACCCCCTTCCATGGCGACACTTTCAGCAAAACAAAGTCCCCCACCTGAAACTGAAGATCCGATCATCGCCGGTCAGCATAGCTTTTCTGACGGCTCTGTGTGACTCGTAGCCGGTCGCGCACCTGCCGAATCAACTCGGTAGTCTTGAGCACCACCTCGGTGCTTCCCATAACTCAGTGTCCAACCTCATTGTAAGTCCCGAAACAGTTAGCTTAATGAGATATCAATCAATCTATCTAAAGAATGCGAAATATAAATCAGATAGTGATTCAAGAACACATAAATTACTCTTAGTGCACACGATTTATTGATGAAATCGTCTGGTACACCAAGAAAAACCTTACAATCGAATATCATAATTAATGAACAACTAAATCACCTAAATGGCTGAAAAACCGTATATATGATCCTAGTACAAAACCTTAACACGGCCCAAGCCCAAGCTAACCGAAATCACCATAGTCATTTCGGTCCCTATAACCGAAAACACAATAAGCCCACTAACATAAATATATCTAAGCCCAAGAACAATGATAAAATAGAATCCCAGCATAAACAAAAAAAATACGACCCAACAATCTCCCCCTTAGTTTACTACAGGCTATTGCTGGCTGACTTTACGACTTCTGCACAAGATGAACATCAGAATCAGCCAATGCTCCTGCCGACAGCTTCTTATCAATGATTGTCACAATCATGCCGGTGAAAGCCTTTGCAGCAGCTTCAAACATTTCATTTTCCACCATAAGTTGATGCATGGATAAAGTATAAATGTCATGGTCGCCAAATTTCAGCAAATCCTTAGGATCAACAAGACGAATTTGATCCTTTTTCATCTTGATTACGACAGTCGCTCTAGCCTCATCATATAACCAATATAGTAAGTCATTCAAAGAGCTATCAGGTACACGCTGAGTTATAGGGATCTTCTTCGCTTATTCGTAGGAGGCCACATAACATTCACCATAGTCTTGTTGGTGCGTGGATCAATAACACCCTTGACTTTTTTAACGAACGATGACGTTGTTTTCAAGCCTTCAAAGTTCATATTCGCGTTGTCTTCTAGGAACCTTTTAAACACCCATGCGTTTGGATCATTTGTTTGATTGTGGAACTGTGTGTGGACCAGCTCTGCAATATCAACTTTTTTCCAAGACATAAAGTCAGTCTTCTTCGCATAGTACTCAATCTTTCCGCTCTTTCTCTTTACAATCCACATCTTCTTATCAGCTTCATATCCCCACATGAGAATTCCAGAATGATCACCATATCTGTCAGCAAATTTTCTTTTTCTTATATCTTTGATAAACATCTGTGGGTGATCACCAGGTGCATTCTAACTAGAGTTTTTCATCAGAAGCATTTTGTCTTTCTTCAGCTTATCAACCATTCTCTTCTTCTCCCTTCTTTCTTCAGTTGTGATAGGGCTAGAAGCCAGAATTTGATCAATGTTAGCATCTGGGGCACGAGAAACTGCGACTCTTTCAGATGTCTCTGGAGCTTTTCCATCATCAGAACATGAAGTATTGAACTCATCACCAAATTTACCAATTAATTTGTCTTTGAGATCAAAATAAAGAGTTGTCAACCCGCAAAGATTGGCCTGAAGGTCTGAGATCTGCTTATTCTTTTGAGAATTTTCCTTTTCAAGCTCAGAAACTCTCACATCCAAACTTCCAATCAACAATTCCTTCTCAATGGACTCGTGCTTTAAAAGTACGATCTCTTGTTTGAGCTCAAGAATGATTTTTTGAGTCTTCATGACCTCCGTGCCCTGAGCCAATTAATATTCCCTTTCCTTTTGACTGAGGAATAGAATCTTGAAAAGCAAGTAGCTTGGCTAGCTTGATAGATGCATAAACGTGCTCTGGAGGTGGTGGGGCAGAAGAGCTTCCCGAGGTAAAAGTTTCCTTATTAGCTAAGAAGTCGAAGTTTCCTTATTAGCAAGTAGCTTGGCTAGCTTTGAAAATCTTGATGAACCTGGGCTGGTTCAACAATTGGCCTTTGATCATCTTGATGAACCTGGGCTGGTTCAACAATTGGGCTTTGATCATCTTGAATAACATGGGCTGGTTCAACACTTGAAGTTGACTGTTGTACTGGTTCAAAAATAAGCACTCCCGACCTTAGATCTATACGTCTTCGCTTTCTTGGCATCAGGGAGGCATTTGAAGCATCTTTATCACTCCCAGATGGAGACTCATTAGTAACAGGAACTGCTTGGGGAGGCTTCCTCGCAATTGACTGTAATTTTTTAATAAGGGCTTCCATCTGTTCGAGCGTTGGATTGTTTTGTTGCTTGAAAGTATTGCTTTTAGTCTTTGTCTCCGCTGGATAAATCATAGCTTCATTGACTGGCTCCTTCGATGGTACAAACATACAAAAATCCACATCATCATCATCATCATCATCATCATCATCATCATTATCATCATCATCATCAACATCATCATCATCATCACCATCAGAAACCTCAAACGAAAAACTGAGATTTGATTTTGATGGCGCCACATGTTCCTCGGCGACCATTGCAATTAGAGTACTAGCTGTTTGAACACCTTCAGTCTCTGCGAATTTACCAAATTTCACCAGAGCTTCTGTACCATTGAAAACAACCTTTAACACTTTCCGTACTTTTTTGGACCCAGTATCGGGGGTCCTTTCCAGCTCGGGATGCATGACATCAAAGCTCATTTGTAAGAACCGAGGATACATCAAGAAAAGATCCTTCTTTTTCCCAGAAAGGTTGCTCTTCATTTCGTCAAAAACAAATTTAGAGAAATTATACTCCCAATCCATGGCTAGTGATATAAAGGCTGATGTAGCTGTTTGGCTTACCTCGTCCACCCCCCTTTCTTCCAAAGATGCAACTAACAAAAGTATAAGCCAGAAATATACAGTAAGGTGGAAGTAGCTTCTATACTGTTGGAGGAAAAATTCCTTCATAATTCATCTTCTTTAACACTTATGTGATCTTGGCAGCAGGAAGTTCTGTTGGGAAAGTAGACTAATCTCCGAACTGAAGCACTTCCAGAATGACTTGCTATGTAATGATAATCTCATTGCCTTTCACAGTAGATTCAATAGCACCAGCACCATCCGCACCTGCACAGTTTAACGATGCATTCTTCCAAAAATCGTTAATCAGTCCTTGCATATGACAGGATTAGCACGTAGAGCGTGGGAAATTCTGCAATTGTTCAAACCCACGATCATGGATTTGAATTCATTGTGCACGGTAGGTGGATCCAAGAGATATCCTGCGATATTGTGAGAATCAGCAAACTTCAACTGATCTGTCATTTATCTGCAACAAACAGATCAAGTGAGAACAATAAAAAACTAAAATTAAAATTTTATTTTCTCAAAAATTCAAATGTTGTTCATAATGTTGATTTCGGTCAAAACCAAGTGAATTCAGTTGGTCAAACAAGAGATTTCGGTCAAAGGCAATGTTTTCGGTCAAAACAAAGTGTTTTCGGTCGGATTGAACTGATTTCGATAGCACCCGGGTCAAATTTGATCGATTTCAGTCGGATCCGGGTCAAACCGAAAACCCGACGATTCAAATTTTGAAATCCTAGACAGATTCGCCGGAAACCACCATCAACTGGCCTGAAACCCTTTGAATACCTACAAAAGCTCCAAGAAAAGGACATAAAAACTAAAGTGTGTTACTCGCAATCTACATACCTAGTCACGATTTCGAAGAATCAAGAAAAATTGATGATTTTAGGATGAAAAGATGAACAGTGAATAAGGAGTTTTCGCTTAGGGTTTTGAGAGAAAAAATTGATTTCGGTGGAGGTGAATGAAATGAGGAGAAAAATCCTTTTAAACCCCAAAATGGGTTCTCGGCCCTTTGGGCCACCGAATTTGGTGGGCCCCAATCCATTTAGCAATTCATTTTCTTTAATTCGTTTCTTAGAAAAAAATTGGAAATAAAATAAATTTTAAAATTTTAAAATGAATTCAAATAAAATGCCAAATAAAATAAAATAAAATAAAAGTTTTTGAAACAAAAATAAAATAAAATAAACAAACACATTTTAACAACTGAATTTAAAACTTTTGGGATCAAAAGTTATCAAGCAATTTAATATCGTTTATCAGCACACACCTGCATGGATAACTCTGGTCAATCACCAATATTGTGGTCCACTTAAACACAAAGAATATTTGTAAGTTGGACAGATTATAAGTGACAATCCATTCCAATTATATTCCTAAATAGACTATTTTGCTGACGATGACCAAGGATATTGTTGTCCACTTAAATTCAGCAGCGAGATCTACAGTCAACCTTTAGTCATGAACCAATTCAATTTTAAGCGCACTAGAACGCATTCCCCACTTCACGACATACCCTAGCAATCAAGGAATTCCAAAGAGCTCTTTACTTTAGGTGAGTGCTCAATTATTTGAGAGAGAATATGGATATAGAGATGCATATGTTGTATCCGAGGTCGGATCTCTTCCAATCACGCAGAGGGACAACATATGACTAACATAGATAGAGGGATAGAGAAATACAAAGATGCATATGTTGTGTCCCATGTCGGATCTCTTCCAATCACATAAAGAGGACAACATATGACTGACATTGATAGATGTATAGAGAAATGCATAGAGATAGAGATGCATATGTTGCGTCCCAGGTCGGATCTCATCCAACCACGCAAAGGGGGCAACATATGACTGACATAGAGGATAAGAAAGAAAAACAATTTCACACAGACCTACTTTATTTGAACCCCCTAGTCACTCTATCAGCACCAGAATTAAGGACATAAGTCCGTACATCGAAGAAGTGTTGAGCCATAGTTCTAGATGATAAGTAGCTTTAATGTATCTCGCAGGCTCCCTTGTTTATCTCACTGCTCAATCTATCCAAGTGTCGTATGGTCAGTCCAAATGTAACTATCTAAGTCCAGATGAGTTAACAATGTCATGTCTTTTCATTGTCAACAATGTCTAGTCCTTTCATTTTGAGTCCTTCGTGCCTACCAGCACATTAAACACAGAGTCTAAACAATTCAACTTCAGTGCATTACACGTATTTCAGATTGCCCTTTAACACTAAACTTCATATCACTTCCCAAGAACACTTACAAAATAAGACATATTTTTGGAAATTTTGATTTTATAATAATTATTATTATGTTTTTTAATTTGTCCCCCTAAATTTGTGCATAGGAGAAGGAAGAAAGTAAAATAAATGCACGAATTTAAACAAACAAAAATAAACAAATAAAAAATTAATCTTCGAAACGAATCATTTTTAGAAAACCCACAAACACATCGAAATGAGCTTTACTAAAAGGTTTGGTGAACAAATCCGCCACATTGTTATCGGTGTGAATTTGTTCGAAACGAATGAGCTTACGCTCATAAAAGTCTCGAATAAAATGAACATTAATGTCGATGTGCTTCGTTTTTGAATGTTGAACTGGATTTTTTGCAATTTGAATGGCCGCATCATTATCACAAAAAATGGAGGTGTCAAGAAAATTAAAACCGTAATCCAACAATTGGTGTTGAATCCAGATAACCTGAGAGCAGCAGGCTGAGGTGGCAACATATTCAGCCTCACCGTTGAGGTCGACACCATTTACTATTTCTTACATTGCCATGAAACCAATCAGTCCCCCAAGAACTGACATCCACCCGATGTCGATTTCCTGTCAAAATCACAATCTCCATAATTGCTATCAGCAAAATCATATAAATCAAATTCAGGATTTTTAGGATACCAAAGACCCAATTTAGGGCTTCCTTTAAGGTATCTAAAAAACCTTTTAACAACAATTAAATGGGAAAGTTTAGGATTAGCCGTATAACGAGTGCATTAATAGACGGAAAACATGATGTCAGGTCTGCTGGCAGTCAGATACATCAGAGATCCGATCATCGATCGATATTCAGTTTGACCTACGGATTCTCCATCTGGATCTGGAGCCAACGGTGGTCTTTCTTCCATCGGAGTGGAAGCAATTTTTGAGTCTTTAAAACCAAACTTTTCTAGCATGTCTTCCACATATTTGCCTTGATGTAGTAAAATTTCGGCCGAATCCTGGCGAACTTGTAACCCTAGAAACATTGTCAATTCACCCAGCGAGCTCATCTCAAATATTTTCTTCATTACATCCTCGAACTCTTTACATAGCTTTGTGCTAGTCGACCCGAAAATGATGTTGTCTTCGTATATTTGGACGACAATGAAATTTGCATTCACTTTCTTGATGGATAACGTCTGATCGATCGTTCCCCTTGTGTACCCGTGCTCCAACAGATGTCCAGTTAAGGTAGCATACCAAGCTCTAGGAGCCTGATGCAAACCATATAGAGCCTTGTCCAGTTTGTAGACATGATTTGGAAACTTTGGATTGACAAACCCTGGTGGTTGATCAACATAAATCTCCTCCTTCACAACTCCATACAAAAAGGTTGTCTTGACATCCATCTAATAAAACGTAAACCCCATGTAGGAAGCTATGGTAGAGATATGCGAATGGCTTCCAAACGCGCCACAGGAGCATACACTTCTGTGTAGTCAAGACCCTCTATTTGCTTGAATCCACGAACTACCAAATGAGCCTTGTTGCACACAATCACCCCGCTATCATCTTGCTTATTTCTAAACACCCAACGTGTATCCAAGGACTTCTTGCCCTTCGGTAGCTCTACTAACTGCCATACTTTCAACTTCTCAAACTGGTTCAGCTCTTCATGCATTGCATCCACCCATCTTGGTTCATTTAGAGCCATGTCCACATTCTTTGGTTCAATTTTAGATATGAAGCACGAGTAAAGACACTCATTGACATTTCAGCTTTGGCTTCTGGTCTGAACCTCGCTTTCTAGTGGACCAATAATGTTCTGGATAGGATGATCACGTTGAACTCTAGTTGGGATTGGATGGCCGATATCATTGACTGTGACTGGATGATTTGTGATGTTGTCAAATCTACCCGCTACCAAATCACCCCCTTCGGACGGTCTATGATCATGAGAAGTACTTGCCACAAGTTCATTTGCGAATGGCTTTGGAAAGAGAAATTCCATGAAAGTTTGTATGGCAGTTGCATTTTCCCTTGAGAGAATCTCATCAGGAGTAAGGGGAGTGGCTTTGGTGTCAGAACTAGCCTTTTGGACTGATGAGGAAGGAGGTGTACTTGGTGTAGCTGCATCCATCGTAGGTGATTCACGAGTCACCACAGATGGTTTGAATGATCCAATGATAACATGTAACAATCGACTTTTGAGGTATTAATTATTTAATTTTCTTAAATTATAGTTGGGCCAAGTGTGGATAAAAGGAGTATTAGATTGGACTTATGCACTTGGACCAAAGACTTGGGCCGCCCAGAAGATGTACGTTGGGCATAGCCTGGGCGTATGCGGGGCGTAATGGGCCGCGTTTGGAATCGGGGGCGCGCACACGTACACGCAGCGTACCATGGTGTACGTGCAACGTACGTGAACAGATAAGGAAACCCAAATTTAAGGGTTTAAGACGTATATAAACCCCATTATAGCCTCCCACTTGGCCTCCTTACATATCCTTCACTCTCAGAAAACCCTAGTTCGTCCCTTACTCCTTTGATTGTGTGTGGTTGATCTTTTGGGCTCATTTTGTGAAGAAAAGCTTGGAAGAAGAGAAGAGGAGTGGTTAATCT